CTGCCTCCACCTGCCTGTCATCACTCCAGCTGCATCTTGGCCACTCGACGGGGAGGCCGCACCTAATTGACCTGACCTAAACGGTGATGTGTATTCATGATATTTCTACACTATAGGTATATACGTACTATCGGCGAACGCCTTAGCAATTTTCTCTAAAATATGTTCTGGCCTTGGAAAGGTGAATTGTATAATATAACTGAACGAAGAGTAGTCTGGTAGACTACCTCAATATGAGATTCTAATCGATCTACTTATAATTGCATTACTTGACTTATGCTAAGCAACCACCCAACAACAGGTCGCGCGGCGTGGCGCGTGCGGCTGGTACTGGTCGTGGTCGTGCTGATGCGTGCGATCTGTTTACGATCTCGTTAAATATTCGCTGATCGGTCGGAAGCGCTGTTCGTTGATCGTAAACTTTATATATCTTCCTTAAATTTGATCATAATCATCTTTATCACTTTTTTATTATTTTGATGATGATTTTATGAAATGAATGCTCGTGTTGTAGCAGCTGGTGTCTCCAGGAATTTTACAAAGTACTTTAGATGTGAGGACACCATTTTGTTATCAATTCATATGATCATTAGTTTAAGCATTTTTTGAGCTAGTATTTACAACGTTTTTAAGCATTGCGGGTGTGGAGCATGCGGTTAGAGTGTTGGCGATAAACGAGCCACAGGCTGTAGTTAAGAGTAATGAATTCGCACAGGTAATTTTTAAGTAGGTGAAATATATACCTTTGGTAAGTACCAACAATACCTAATGACAATCAAGTAATCGGGAACCTAGACACACAAACACACGCACACACACACTTCGGCCCAATCATACACATTAGGGAGCAATCTGAATTTTCGTAGTCTCAATTATCAGTGAAGTCTTAAAATAGCATCTGGAACGGGCTTTAATGCTGTATTGACATTGCTAATGTCATAGATAACGGTTATGTTTAAGCCAAGTGCCGTGTACCACGTGTCAGCGTGAACCAACATAAACGTTTATTGAAAAAACAATATTAAAATAAATATGTTTTCAATCACGACTCATTATTGCTATCGAGAAAAATGATATCTTTAAAAGCATTTCAAATAACGTCATGTGCGAACTTTACAACTTTATTTTATCACCAAATAAAGTGTAAACATAAAGATAACGTTGTTGACGCGGCTTTAACGGGGAGCTCCGGCTCTCGTTCCGACAACTACAACAGTTTGGTTCGTCCTAAAGGACCGTCTTGTTTTACTTAATGAAATTTAGATAATTCGAGTGACACCAACTAGCGACTTGAATGAACAATGCGATTAGTATTGTCATAAATAGTAGGTATTCGAGACGGTTAGCTCAGTAACGGTGTGCTGAGCACGGAGACATACTCCCCTAAAGGGAGTGTGAGACGAACAAGCTCCGTCGCCCGGCGCCGCCTGCACTACTACGTGCTGACTCGTGCGTACGTACCTACCTCATGCGCAGACAGCATTTTGATCGACTTCATTCAATACTTATAGTTATCTATGAACTTCATATTTTCATTTGAATCTTACCAAACTAATTTTCTAATAAGTGTTACAACCGCTTAGGCACTACCGCATGTTTAAAAGTGGAAGTATTGATATTCAGGCCCCAGCCTCTAGAAGCGTTGCTCTGCTGACGACGAGGAACCGGCTTCAGTAAAAACTCGAGTGCGTGCTCAACTTTCTTGGTTGGTGCGGTGAGCGCGGGACCGCACCCACTATTGATTTATTAGCGCACTTATGCCGCGCTGCACACGATACGCAAATCTTACGATTTGTCCTCTGACGATATATTTTCGCCCTAAAATTTGAGAGAAGTATTGTAATTGGGAAATACTTTACGGTACCAAGCAGCGGTCAAATAGAATTTTTATTTAATAGCCTGAATTGAATAGCCTGAATGACAATAACTATATCGTCTTAAAAACTGTATCATCCTGATATTTAGGTCTGAGCCTACGCATTACAAATAATATCACAGTGGCGAGTTGTTCGAGCACGCATTTTACTGTGACATCAGTAGGACTCCTTGCCTAGGACAATACCTATACATAAATCGCTCCAAATCGGCCGAGGCTCGACTCATACAATTAATTAATATTGCTGATTATAATTTGTGTTCATATTTTAATGCCAAACGTTCATAATTAAAAGTTTTCAGAAATTCACTGATGAATAGAAATTCTACTGTTGATGTGAAACATCTATAGCCGCACGTAAAACCGATTTCTGGCGTGGCGACGCACGCCGTGGCGACGCGTCGCCATGCGCAATCGACTGTGCGATTCTCTCCCACTCGATCCGGCGTTAAGCCATCTCTCTCGCTACACTGAGCTCGGATACCTATAGTGTATACTCCTTAGTGTATACAGTGTTGTTTACTACAGTACACATAACCTGTGTTTTACTTGAAAACGAATTATTTTTTCGTAATATTTTATTTTATCATTATGACATATTTAGTTCCTATCACAATCTGCTCTTTTCTGTATATTACTTTTACAAAATAATGTCTATGTTTTGCACTTTTTTTTTAACTAAAAAGTAAGAAGAAGTTTACCGGTGGCTGGGCGTATTCCCAGCCTACACGGTGCGTCCGGCGCACAGTGGGTCGATTCTATGATTTTAGTGACTTAGGGACCAACTTTGTTTTTTTATAATTTTTTTTATGTAGATAGATAGAGCTCGTTAATCTCAATAATAATTGTTTTGGGCAAAAATTACAAAAACTTTATAGTTTGGTCAGAAAAATGTGTTTTGTGATTTTTTTGTATGGAGCGGGTCACATTAAATTANCTCGTCCAAATAAGGTCTCCTGAAGATGGCCCTTCGTGTCGCAAGTATCGGTATGCGGTCGAAAGTACTAATTGAGGCGCGCTCCCAAAACCGGTGCTTTTAGGGATCCTTGCACAATCCGTGCACAATCCGCACTAAACTGTAACGGGACGCACGTGATGCATGTCATGGCGCCAGGTACATTTGGACCTGCACTATGCCGCCAATGTTTATTTACTTTTTCATTAATTTCATTTACAGTCCTCGATACGAAATTATAATGAGTGACAACTTTAAGTTGTAACTATGTATAATTGTAATATTTTTCGTTGAAAGGTTTTATCATGTAACAGTTAAACATCCATCGTCTATTAAGTAAGTTTAGTAAAATGTGTATTTAACTACATACATTAAACTCCAGATGGGGATAGCGCACTAAGCTGTGCCATTTTATTGTAATACAGTTAAAAATGTTAGTTTGGTCATTTATTTTAAGTATGTTCAGTTCTGTTAGGGCTGTCTAATCAGTTTTACTTATCCAGAATAGTACCTAATATAATAATATGTAACACAGTTGATATATAAAAAAGGGTGCGTGTACTTATGTACGCGCGTAAGAAATTATACTTTATTTTTATTAAAGGACAATGCCCATTTTCTATGGGCGTTTGGGCCCCTAAAAAAAGTTATCCTGTCATGATGGTTTTAACTTAATTTGATAGACAAAGAAATATCGTTTCATATTCAGAAAACGATTTTTATATTCTCACCCAGGTTTAAGAGAAATCTGTTTTTTTCTGCAGCTAAAATTAAGTTGTTAATTGTTTTCTTCGAAATCAATAATCGCTCTCATAATTATTTACAGTATTAAATAAGTTAATTGTGGTTAGTGTTGCTAGAAATAAGCCCTTACGTACATTTTATTATTATATCCTCATAATAATAATAAAATGAAATGAAAATCCGGAAGCCGGCAACGATATTGTTGTTGTTGTTTTTAAATTCACCAATAAGCAGGCAAAGAGCGTAGCCTATACAGCCTAGTCTGTCGAAGTTATATATTTTTTATGTCAATAAAAAGCCGGTGTATCTCTTTTTATTGCTTTTTGGGAGTTTTGANTACGAGCTCTATGTCTTGCGAGTATTTTTCTGCGAAATGTTCATCTAATACTCCGAACAGAGAGTTAGCAAGATATCCGACACCGTTGATAAAACCACGACGCTGTCTGTAGTGCTCATTCAAATGTTGATTCATAAGTAGCTCATTATAGTAAGTTAATTCTTTGTATTCGTGGATCAATTGATCGACTATTATGCTACACTGACCATCTTCCAGGACTTTGCATGATTTATCTAAATGTGTTGTCGCCTTTTCGAATGCCTTCATTCCTTCTCGATATGGAGACATGTTATAATATAGAACCAAGTTCCAAGTGTTCTTTATTAAATTTAATTTTGTTACAGGATCAAAATATAATGATCGATCACCTTTCAGCTCGGTTATGTTACAGGCATCGCTGGTGCATAATGACATGAAAAATATTAATGCTATCACCATACACGATAGTCTTCCACGTCTTGATTGTTTTTGCTTGTGTTTTGTAGGTTGAGAAGAACAATCATTTTGTTTTTTGTTATAGTCAGAATTATCCACTTGCTCAGCTGATTCAATGGGCAAATTAGACAGTTTGACGACAGGTCGTTGTATAATGCCATTTTTTGTTTTGAGTGATACCACCATGACATAGCCGTCGTTGCCGGGAAACACTTCTATGACTCTACTCTTTGCTTAGATGGGTGGACGAGCTCACAGCCCACCTGATGTTAAGTCGTTACTGGAGCCCATAGACATCTACAATGTAAATGCGCCACCCACCTTGAGATATAAGTTGTAAGGTCTCAAGTATAGTTACAACGGCTGCCCCACCCTTCAAACCGAAACGCATTACTGCTTCACGGCAGAAATAGGCAGGGTGGTGGTACCCATCCGCGCGGACTCACAAGAGGTCCTACCACCAGTAATTACGCAAATTATAATTTTGCGGGTTTCATTTTTATTACACGATGTTATTCCTTCACCGTACCCATGAGCCATTTTCCAGCCGGAAGATTGTCTTCATGAATAACCACCATATCTCCAATCTTCATGTTTGTTTGTGGCTTCACCCACTTCTGCCGCGTTGTTAATTGTGTTAAATAGTTTGTCTTCTAGTTATGCCAAATCTGCTTGAATATGCTGTTGGTCAAATGCCATCTAGTTCTAGCGTCCTCTTTTGTTTCTATAACGGTTACCTCCACCCTTCCATTTAAGAAATGTGCTGGTGACAGGTAATCCAAGTCTTCTATGTTTTCTGTTAAAGAACACAATGGCCTAGAGTTAAGACAGGCCTCCAGTTGTGCTAAGATAGTGCAATACTCTTCAAACGTTAACTTTTGTTTTCCTACGACTCTTTTTAAATGCCACTTCAAGCTCTGCACGGCTCGTTCCCACAGGCCTCCTGCACTCGGCCAAGAGGGTGCGTTGAAATGCCATTCAATGTTCATTTCTGCAACTTCAGCCAAAAGACTGTCACTAAAGACTTGGCATAAAGTATCATATTCTTCCTGTAGCATTCGGTTGGCTCCAACGAAGTTCGTGCCTTGATCGCTGTATAAGTGGCGCGGTGCTCCCCTTCGGGCCGCCATCCTTCTGAGTGAAGCCAAGAATGCTGAGCTCGTTAAGTCAGAGACTAAGTCCAAGTATACCGCCTTCGTAACCAAGCAAACGTATACGACGATGTATACTTTTGTTGTTTTCACACCTCTTCCTTTGTTGATCTTGACATCGACGAAACCAGTATAATCTACCCCAGTATGGTAGAATGGCGCAGCCTGGTTGACTCTAGCAGCAGGAAGATCACCCATTAGCTGGTACAACTTCTTTGTATCATATCTACGACATGTTACACAATTCCTTAACTGTTTCTTGGTTGCATTGTATCCACTAGTTATCCAGTATTGTTGTCTGAGTGTTGTTAAGGTAAGTCGAGGCCCTCCGTGAAATGTTAACTCATGTGCTTCATTTATTAATAATTCGGCTAAACGGCCTTTGTTCGGAATTATTTTAGGATGTTTCATTTCAGCACTCATGTTCGCGTTCTTTAGTCGACCTCCAACACGTAGGACACCGTCTTGATCGATGAACGGTTTTAAATTTAATATATTACTGTTCGACGCAACTTGTTCATTTTTGTTTAGTTTTTCTATATCGGACTTAAATTCCGTTCTTTGAATATGTTTTATGATAGCTGATTTGGCATTGCGCAGTTCTTGTAAAGTTAGGTACGACAGTAATTGTTTACGCTGCACAATAGGTGTCAATGCTCTTCGTATCCATGCTAATACGCGAACAATTTTTAGAAATGTGTTATATTGTTGTAATAAATAATCAATAACATATTGTTTGTTTTCATGTTGTAAAACATGAACTAACTTCTTGTTTTTTGTTTCTTCTTCTTTTTTATATGTTAATTGTTCCTGTTCTCTTTTAAATGTTTTTAGCCATGACGGTCCGTTCCACCATAAAGCATGATTTACCAACTGATCGCCAGTAAGTCTTCGGCTTGCAGCGTCAGCGGGGTTCTCGCTTGATTTTACGTATATCCAGGTTTCAGCTGGAATTATTGATATTATCGGTTGTTTTGGAGACTGTCTCCATACTATTTTCTGAAGTTGTTGATCATCGCTATTTATTAAAATTTGTTGATAAATTTTCTCAGGATCAGCGATAAATGCATACGGACTGTCTCCATTGTAATAAGAGAACCTGTAAATTCTTTTGTAGATTAGGTCCTTTATGCATAATGTCATTTAAACTCAATTTAGAAGATGTTGAAGCTGACCCATTGAACACGAATCTTAAGCTTGATGATGAAGATTCTTCACGTAAAATACCGTGATGAGGCATATAGCTTTCTTGTTTTATGTTTTTGTTGTTTTCTGGGATCATATGTCCTTTTTTTTTTTTTTGGTATCGATGGGGAATCCCAGTCTTTACGGATACCCGGCCGACGGGGGTCGGACCAGGTTATGTCGGACTCCGCGCCTCCGGTGGAGGAAAGAGGAAGAAGTCGCGAACCGAGGTCCGCGCCCTCGACCAATTAGTCCACGGAGACTTAGTCCTTGAGAAAGGCGCGCTGGGCTAAGTTCAGCTCGCGCCGAACCCGCCCAGCTTAACGACTACCGACTAAAACCCAACGAGCTCCTTTCTTTCCGGCATAGGGGGAACCTACGATACCGCAGGGAAACGCGCCCCGCAGGCCCCCCACACCGGCTCCCAGCCTGACGAACGGCGGGATCAACGTCGGCCATTGCTGACCGCAACTTCTTCGTGAGGTAGGCACCGGAGCCACAGCGCCCTATACCCTCACCACCACCACTGGACTATCGTGTCGAGCATCAGGCGCCCCCGCGCCCGACGCCCGACGGTCCCTACGGGAGCTGAGCGGGGGCCCTTCGCCCGCGCCGCCCACCCCGTCTCTTTCGCCTGAGTGCAACTGAGTTTGGGTCGCACTCTCTTTCTCGCTCCTCCGTTTCGCGGAGCGTCATGACCAGGTCCGCATAGTCGGCCATCGCTCTCCAGCAACGCTCGTCCTCGACCATGCGGGACACTACGACCGGCAAACTTAAGTCTGCCCCGAGCACCGCGACGAGTGACTGCCGCGGATACTCCCACCTCGGGCACGCTTCGAGGGCGTGCTGCGCGTCGTCGTCTGGATGCCCGCATTGGTGGCATCCGGGATGCGGCTCTCTCCCGACCCGCCACAAGTACCTCCCGAAGCAGCCATGCCCCGAGAGGACCTGCGTGAGCCGGAAATCGAGCACGCCGTGACGCCTGTCAATCCAGGCCTCCAACACGGGCACCAGGGCTGCGAGGGTGCGCCGCCGGGTTCGAGAACTACGGTGGATCTCCTCTGCAGCCAGCCTCTCTTTCCACTTCAACGTTGCCACGCGACGCGCAGCACGCCTCCATCGGGCGACGACAGACAAACGGGGCACACTTCCCCGACCCAAAGATTGCGCCCTGCGCCGGTACATCGCGGCTAGGACCTCGGCCTCGTACTCCCATGGAAGGGAGCCAGCGAGGGCGCAAGCGACCTCCGTCGAAATGGTGCGGTAGCCCCGCACGACCCTCACCGCCAGCACCCTCTGAACCCTCTGCAAGAGGGCCGCGTTGCGAGCGGAGAGCGTGGGCGACAAGACGGGAGCGCCGTACAGGGCCATGCTCCGCACCACTCCCAGGTAAAGACGCCGGACCGACTCTCCTCCTCCTCCAATGTTTGGGAGCAAGCGGCCGCCCCGAGCAATTTCGGGACCAGCACATCGAAATGCCGGTCAAAAGTCCACCTGCTGTCTAACACGAGCCCCAGATATTTAAGTTGGGACCGGACAGCGATCGCAGTCCCTCCGATGGTTATACTCGCGCCGGGAGGAGGCCCCTTCCGAGCCGGGTGAAAACACACGGCCTCAGACTTGTGCAGGGCGACCTCCAGGCCGAGCTTCCTTATTCTGGCTACGACTGTTGCCACCGCAGCCGCAGCCAGAATCGGCGCCGAACGGTAGTCGTCTCCGCGGGCCGTCACCAGCGTGTCGTCGGCGTAGCAGATGACCTGCACGCCACGCAGGTTAGCCCCGCGGAGGACCCAGTCGAACCCGACGTCCCACAGGAGCGGACCCAGAACCGACCCCTGCGGGACACCACACGAGACCGCTTTGTGTCCCCACCCCCTCCGTTCGGGGAAGACCGCAGCCCGCCCTGCGAGGTAATCCTCGATCAGGTTCCGGAGACCGGTGGGGACACGGTAAAACCTTAACGACTCCAGGATCGTGCTCCAGGGCATCGTATTGAAGGCGTTAGATATGTCTATAGACACCGCCAACAACACGCCTCCCCGGGAGCACGCCTGGTCGGAGAGGTCGCGGACGCGCTGGACCGCGTCCAAGGTCGAGCGACCCCTCCGGAACCCATACTGAGAGTCGGACAGATTTGGCCCAACATTTTCAAGGTGCCGCACGAGGCGACCGGCGACGACGCGCTCGAGAAGCTTGCCGGCCTCGCTCAGCACGACTATTGGGCGATACCCCGATGGTTGGTCTCTGGGGCGCCCCTCCTTGGGGATGAAGACCAACCGACCCGTCTTCCATTCTTCCGGGAACCTGCCCTCTCGGAGGCACCTGCTGAGCAGCCCTCGGAGGACAGGTCCCAGAACACCCTCAGTTTGTAATGCCAGCGCCCAGGCCCGATTCGACAGTCCATCGGGACCTGGCGCCGTCCTCCTCGCCTTCATTTTGTCGATGGCCGCACCGAATTCCGCCGGCGACACTTCCTCCTCTTCCGCACCAATCTGGGCTCCAGTTGTCGGTGTTGTCATGACGGGGGGAACGAAGGGAGTTCCAGGTGCGTCCGGAAACAGTCCCCCAATCACGTGCCGAACGATGTCAGGCGACAGGGTGCTCGTCGCGGGCGGGGCCCAAGAGCGCATTGTGCTCCGCGCGAGGCGATACGGTCGCCCCCACGGGTCGCGGTCCAGCGTCTCCAAAAGCTCCTTCCACGCCGCCTCTTTCGCCTCTCCAATGGCGACGCGCAGGGCCCGCACGTCCTCCCGGTATTCCTCGTACGCCCGGTCCTCTTCTTCCTCGTCCTGGCGCCTCCGACGACGAAGATGTTGGTATTTTCGGCGACTACCGGCGCATCGGCGTCGCAGGCCGGCGATCCCCTCGTTCCACCAGTAGACTTGGCGCCTCGGCGCGTACGCTCGGACGCGGGGCATGGCGTAGTCGCAGACTCGCGACATCGCCTCGCGCAGCCGCTCCGCACCCTCGCGCACGTCCGCCGGCTCGCCCAGGGAGTCCAACCGCCAGGCCTGGANCGTACGCTCGGACGCGGGGCATGGCGTAGTCGCAGACTCGCGACATCGCCTCGCGCAGCCGCTCCGCACCCTCGCGCACGTCCGCCGGCTCGCCCAGGGAGTCCAACCGCCAGGCCTGGACGACGGCCGCCTCCTGCAGCCGCTCCGTGTCGAGGCGCTTCAGGGCCCAGCGCGGGCCCTCCACGCCGCCACCAAAGGGCAAAGTCGTTGCCGAAGAAGACTCCGGGGCCGCGGCCACACGGAAACCAATGTAGCGGTGGTCGGAGAGCGTCTCCACGTCGACCAACACCTCCCAACCGCAGACGCGGCGCGCGACGTCGGGGGTCGCAAAAGACACATCCACCACGGACCCACCCGAACGACGGACGCATGTGTTCTCGGCGCCGCGGTTGAGGATAACGAGACCGCTCCCGACCAACCACTCCTCCGTCTCCCGTCCCCTGGGACAGGTGACCGGGGAACCCCAAGCGGACGACTTCGCGTTGAGGTCCCCGAAAACGAGCGCGCGCCCTGAGCGCGACCTCCCCACGACTTGACCGAGTTCGTCGAGAAAGGACTCGAATTCGGCGAGCGGCCGGTTGGGGGAGAAGTACACCCCGACGACAAGCAAGCCTGCCCAGAAGACTGCGACGTAGCCCCGACCCCTCTGTACGACGTCAAATTAGGGCGGAGCGCCCACCGCTGACCGACGCTGGACCACGGCCACCAGGCCGTCAATATCTCCCGCCCAGTCGGGAACCGAAGGGACCCGATAGGGCTCGGCGACGACCGCCAGATGGGTCAACCGCTCCGCCATGCTCTGGATCAGCAGGTCCTGAGCTCTGGCGGAGTGATTGAGGTTGCCCTGTAAGATATGATAAGGGCTGCTGGTCATTGTTCGTCGTCCATTGGTGTCGCCGTAGCCGTACCGGGCTGACTCCGCCGTTTCTCTTCGGCGGCGCTGCTCCTCTGTTGCCTTTGTTTCGGGGGCTTGGCGCAAGCCTTGCCCCCGGAGACGTGCGCTGAAGGCCTACCGGCGCCGGCGCAGATTGTACAGTGCAGGGTGAGCGCGCAGCCCGCGGACTTGTGGCCGGTCTGGCCGCAGCGGTAGCACTCACCACTGCGGTCCACCGACGATGGGCAGCGGGCACTCACGTGGCCCAGTGCGTGGCAGCGGTAGCACTGCAGGCGCCTCGCCTCGAGGAGTTGTGCGCGAAGGACGCTCCACCCGATCCGCAGCTTGTCGACGGCCAATATTTTTTTGATGCCCGCTATGGGGCATCTGACCAAGACCTGGCCAGTGCCTCCGGGGCCCATTTTTATTTCCCCAACCTTCACAGTGTCGGGGAGGCACTCTCCAATCCTGGCGACTTCGGCAACAAGCTCTTCCCGGGATATAGATTCGTCGAGGCCGCTCAGTCTGACAGCGGCCGTTATTGTCGGCCTCGAGACGACAATGCTGTCCGAGGGCAAAACCTCCCGTAGTTTCTTCGCCAGCAAATCGGCTTTCTCGTTCTGGTCAGCGCAGTCTACGACCAATACCTTTGCTCCTGTCACCGCAAAGCGTATCCGCTGGATAGGCATCCCCAGCTCTGCCGGATCGATTATAGCCCTGGCCTCGGCGAGGACTGACCGATAGGTGAACCCGCGCTCGACGGCCTCCGGCTGGAGCTTGACAATGACCGCCTGCGAGCGTGGTGGCCGGAGCCGTTCCTTTTTCTCTTTCAAGGGGGGTGGAGCGGGCACGGTGCCGGTCGCCGTTGCCGGCCTCGGCTTGGCGCCTCTTCGGGCTACCGTCGTCCAGGCTTCCGTCAGAGCAGCTGGGGCGGGGGGGAATGTCCGTGGTTCAGGGAGAGCCGGCTGTTGTCTACTTTTCAGCGCTTTCTTTTTCTTCTGCGGGCCGCCGCCGTTGGGTGCCGCCGTCGCGACTGCAGCTGTTGGTGCGGGCGTTGGCATAGGTGCCGCTACCGGTGGTGGTGGTGTCAGCATCCTCTCCTTCTCGCGGCTCCGCCTTTGGTCCGCGGCCAGGGTCGGTCTCAACCTGGGCTCTGGAGACAGTCGCGCTTCCAGCCCAGAGAGGCGCGCATCCAGCATGGTGCCGACCGCACGCATTATTCTCTGAAGGCGTCGCTCCTCCTCGTCGTCGCTCTGTTGGATCGGGGTGAGGGCGGTGACGGCTGCCGGCGATCCCACGGCCTGGGCCAGGCGCGTCATCTCCGACCTCATGTCGGCGATCGCGTTCTTGAGGTGCAGGATCTCGGCCTTCTGCCTCCTGCAGAGCTCCTGCAGCCTCTTCGTTTCGCTGTCGGCAGTCCGTGCCGCCATCTCTTCTTTGGCCTCTCGGATGGTGACGGCCATCTCCTTCAGGGCACGCTGATATGTGCCCTTCAGGTTTCCGGACTTGGCCGCGATTGCTAGCGCCATCTTCGCGGACTCTTCAAGCCTGCGTTCGGGGTCGGGTGTGGGTTCCTCGGTGCTGTATGCGGCGGGCATCCCTCACCCGCAGCTTCCGGACGCTCTCCGTCACCTCTTTCTCAGCGCGCAGTGCCATCTGCTCGTGCTGGGCCTTCACGTACGCCTCCTTGGCGGCCGCGAGGCCAACGTACTGCCCTGTTGTGGGCGGTCGTCCCCTACCCCTTTTGGATGGGGTCTTGGAGGCAGCTCTACCGGCTGAGCACGCCGTGTCTTCCCCGGAGCTGCTCTCTGAGCACTCCGTGCTGGAGCCCTTCACCCTCTTCCTTCGGCTTCTGGTCAACGACGAGCGGCCCGAGCTGGCCGTCGCCATACTATCGTCCGACAGGACGTTCACTACTTAATTGTCCTTCACGGACCCTCCTCGACGTTCTTGATTTTCTCCGTCCTTCACAGACCTTACTTCTTTTTCTCCGTCTGTTTAAAATGAAATCTTCAAATCTGGTTACATTAATTCACCTAGTAATATAGACTTAACAACTCTTTTTATTAATAACCGTAAAAGGAGGATGGATAGAAATGAAGAAAAATCAATCAGATTTGAAGTTAGTGATTAAGCAAAATTGTCCGCTCGCTGTTTTTTCTTTTAATGAATTTTTGGGTTAAAAAGTGTACTTTTAACATGTTTGGTCCTTCGAGCCGGATAATAAGTGCAAAAATAATAGTGTAAAAGGCTAAGTGCTAATTACTGCGAGTTGGTTTATGAACTATTTCACAAACTTGGACATTTAAACAGTGCGTAATTAATTTTGGATTAGGTAATGATACTTGGACTATAGTAATTGCTAATATTTAGAAAGTGATTTGGACGAATACAATTTTTGTTACGTAAACAATGGCTCAACTTTGTGAATCACAAAAAACGTTATCAGAACGTATTTCTAAGTTACAAAGTAATACTAAAAAGACGTCTAAATCAAGATACACACTTGGCTATCTACAAACACGCTTAGAAACATTAGAAAGTTATTGGTCTAAGTATCAAACTCAATATGAGATGATTAAGTCAACGGTTACTAAAACTGAATTGGAGCAATTACAATTTAATGCCGAAAGTCTATACGAGACAACTGAAGAGATATACCTAGAATTTAAGGGATTATTAAAGGATTATTTGTTGGAATTTTCGAAAGGTCAAGGTCAACCACAATCATATAATACTACGCAGAGTTTTTTAGCAACAAATGATGGTGAGACCACCCCGATTAGAACTAAATTACCTCCTTTATCGATTCCAAAGTTCGCCGGTAATTATAACGACTGGACAAGTTTTAAAGATTTGTTTAAGGCTCTCGTGCATGACAACGTGCATCTAACAACGATTGAAAAACATCATTATTTAAAAACGAGTTTATCGGGAGAGGCTGAACAACTTCTAAAACATTTTGCACTCACGGAGGCTAATTACGATAAGGCTTGGAGCACACTTGAGAGTAGATACAATAACAAACGTATGATTGTCACTACAATAATTAGCCGCCTTTTAAATCAAAAGAAGATGAACACAGAATGTTTTAAAAGCTTAAAGGAAATTTTAGATACTACGAAGGAATGTTTGAATTCTCTTGATAATATCGGCGTGGATACCTCCACATGGGATGCAATCATCGTTCATTTAGTTGTATCCAAATTGGTCTTAGAAACACACAAACAATGGGAACAGTCACTTGGATCATCTCAAGACATACCCACATTTACCATTTTATCATTATTTTTAGAAAATCGTTTCCGTTCTATGGAGATGGTAAATATTACCCACAAAATAGACCCACCGCAGAAAAAGGACTTAGTTAAAAATTATACAACCCAAAAACCCACAAATATGAAGTCATTTGTCACAGAAGTAAGCAGCAAATGCACTTATTGTTCACAAAACCATTATATTTGTCATTGTAAAGAATTCACCGCATTAGATGTTCCTCAACGTCAGGATTTTATTAAGAAGAATGGCATTTGTTTTAATTGCCTTATAAAGGGTCACTCCGTTAATGCGTGTAGGCAGAGCACCACCTGTAGAAAATGTTGTCGACGACATCACACTCTGTTGCACTTCACAAACCCTAACAAGACCACAGCAGTGCCGGAAAGCGATGCAGCAACACCCAGTACACCTGAAACAAGCCAACCCACATCAACCGTCGTTTACAAGGCTGAGGTTGACAAAGACAGTGAGGAAGTATTATTGGCAACCGCACGAATTGCAGTTAAGTCGAGGAACGGCGACACGATAGTCTTGAGAGCACTGATTGATCTGTGCTCGCAATCAAACTTTGTTACTGAAGCGGCAGCTCAACTGCTTAATCTCGAGCGCACTTCAATTAACGGAGAAATTACTGGCATATCATCTATACCGCTGACCACCAAGTCACAAGTTACGTTGAACTTTCATGCTATAAGAAATTCATCACACATGATCACAGCTAAGGCGTACGTCCTTAGACGAATAAATTCGAGATTACCATCACAAGAGCTCCCATCAGATACCTGGCCTTCTTCTGAGATTTCGGATCTTGCGGACCCACACTTTCACAAGCCAGGATCTATCGACGTGCTATTAGGTGCAGTTGTATATGCGCATATTATTCTTGACGGAATAATAAAACGCAATGAGTCTCTGGTCACTTTGAACTCAAGATTGGGATGGCTGGTAAGCGGCGAAGTTGCGCAGTCTGGCCATCAGTCACACAATGTAGTTGTTATGTACACACAAGTCGAAGTTGATCAGTTGCTACGTAAATTTTGGGAGATTGATGAATATTCACCAAACGTGAAGCCTCTGTCAAAACTTGAAATACAGTGTGAAGAGCATTTTAAGAAAACTCACACTCGAAAAAACACTGACGGTCGATATGAGGTTCGCCTACCTTTCAAGGACGAAGACGCTCCAAATTTAGGCAACTCCAGACAACTTGCTTTGAAACGCTTACATCAGATGGAGAATAAGTTTAAGCGAAGACCCGAGTTTCACGAAGAATACAGCAAGTTTATGAGACAATATAAGTCACTCGGTCACATGGAGGTCGTCCCTGAAACAGAGAAGATGAATAGAGCTTATTACCTACCACATCATGCTGTTCTTCGTGCCTCGAGCCTCACTACAAAGTTGCGCGTAGTTTTTGACGGAAGCGCTAAGCCTGTAGACGGAAACTCACTTAACGATGAGCTACTCATCGGCCCACCGCTGCAACAAGATATACGAGATTTAGTAACACGATGGAGACAACATAAGTACTGCCTAGTAGCTGATATACAACACATGTACCGACAAATACTTATTTCAAAGCAAGACACTGATTACCAGAGAATCTTGTGGCGCGAATCATCGGAAGACACGATTAGAGAATATCGGTTACTTACCGTCACATATGGCAGTTCATGTGCTCCATATCTTGCTATAAGGACACTTCATCAACTTGCAGAGGACGAACGTGGAGAGTTTCCTGAAGCTGAACTTCTAAAAACTGATCTTTATATGGACGATTTGATGACGGGCTCATCTACAGAAGAAGACACTCAACGGCTTCAACGTCGCTTAACTGAACTGTTTAAACGTGGCGGTTTTCTTCTACACAAGTGGTCGTCTAATAGTGAAACGGTTTTAAATGAGATTAGCACGAAAAAGTGAGGTTTATACCTACTACCTGCCGACACAAGTAATATACAAGATAGGTAGGTACTAAAACTTATTATTTTACTGAATTTAATCAAATTAATTTCCAATTTACAACAATGATGTACCTGAAAAAACCACAAAGTAGCTATGTAAGTATATAATGTAAATCCAACAAATGTGGCTTTTATTGACCTGTACTAATTAAAGATCTATACTTACAATACCGTAATTAACTACTTGTCTGAGTGCTGGGCTATATACAATTAAGCATTTAAAACACTTTTACACCGCTCACAACACTCGGCATTAAATTGCAACCACGTGCAATCTCAGTTTTCAGGACGATAATAATCCACTCGTTACCTTCTGGTTACTAATTTATCTTACTGGTACTAAACCTTCAAAATCCGGATCAATCCAGGACCATGTTCGGGAATTACAGAATTAAAATAATATAAATTATGATAAAAATTCAAAACGTATATTTTAACGTGTCACGGAGTGTTGAGTTTGCGCGGTAAAAAAAAACCATAGACTATTCAGACGCCTGAACAGTTATCAAAAGCCGCCCTGATGTCAAGCGAGACGGCGGCAACTTGTGATTTGTCTTGTTTAGCTTTCTGTATAATGTCTATTAGAGTGTTGATGGCGTCGACCGTGTCGGTTTACTCCTTGAAGCCGAATTGTCGTCGATTGCACTTTCCTGTGACGGATGCCCAGTGCATAATTCGTTTGGTGATAAGTTTTTCGACGAGATTTCCAAGGGCGGGGATGAGTCCAATGGGTCCGAATGAGGGTGGTCGCTTTTACCGGGTTTCGGGATGATTTTGACATATGCAGTTTTCCACTGATCGGGGAAGTGTTGAAGGGTGAGGCAGCGGTTCATGATGTTGATGATTAAACGGGGGTAAGCGGATGCGAATTGTTGGCACATGTCGGCTGTTATATGATCGAGCCCTGGGGCCTTTTTGTGGTTCATGTATTGCAGAGAGTTCATGACCTCCTCCTCGTTAAAGGTAGGTCGTTTCCAGTGTATACGGGAGCGCCGTAGCACGCGCGAAGTTGAGCTCTAAGAGAAGAGTTTTCATTGGTGTAGAGTGAAAATTCAATGGTGTTGTGTTTGGAGGTCGGGTATGTGTCAAGGTTTACGTGCCATCCAGAGATGCCGTTGAAAAGGTCGCTGGATGCAAGAGTGAGGTCAATGATGGATAATCTATTGCGGCCGTGAGTGACGGTTTCGAAAGTTGGAGTGTCTCCTGAGCTACAAACGTATAAGTCGTTGCTGTGCTCTAGTTCGACTAGTGTTGAGCCTCTGGGGTTCGCCCTGGCGCTCCCCCACGATGGGTGCCATCCATTAAAGTCGCCTCTCACAATTACTCTCACCCTTCCTATAGCTTTAAGAAAAACGTTCAGACGCTCCATGGTGTTGGCATCAACATCGGGTTCGATGTACGTTGAGGATAGCCTAGTAGATAGTATAGATAGATAGTAGTAGATAGAAGACGTACATAGGTACGTCTTCTTACTTCCTGTCGTTAGTTGTATGGCCGAAGAGTGTTGCTATAGGCCAAGGACAGAACCAACACCTGTCTTAGGCAGTATGCAGGCCTTGACGCACGCGCCGCCGGAGAATTGGTAGATGTTGATTCTGGGGATGTTTTGAACCTCGTTGTTTGCGCCTACGTAAGATTCGGCAACTCGTGCCAACTGTTTTTAGATTTATCCACATTGCATTGTAGCAGTATTATGGAGTTATTCGGTGCCATAATCTATTCTGTCAGTGATTCTTTGTTTCATGGAGAGCAATTGTTTGCAGTTATGTGACGTGGCGCTGTGTGTGGTGGCGATGGATGATTTATGTCGGATGTTGTGTTTAACACAGTTAATACACTAGATTACAGACTTATTAGAGCAGTCAGCTGTCGTGTGGGTGGACTCACTGCAGTGTGCACAGTGTTGTTCAGTGACCGAACACTTGTTGTTTGTGTGACCGAAGCTAAGACACTTGTGACACTGCACGAAGGGTGTGAACTCCTCTGCGTGAATGTGTTGGTGGTCTACACTGATTCTGCCCAGGCTCATGCACCTGTGCCAGACAGTGGGCTGTGCAAGTAGGATGGCGTTATATAGGTTGGGGTTTCTATTGGAGCGCTGGAAAAGGAACCGCAAGTCCTCCTCTTGGTTGATTGCGTTGGTGAGTTCCGGGTTCTGTCTGCTGATTATGCTCACCAGATCTTCAGAGGGAATGTCTTTAGAGACTCCCTTGAGAATGAGCAAAGGCAGCAATCTACGAGTGGGTTCGGCGTGGATTGTCTTGGTGTTATTGATGCGAGTGAGGATATCGTTACTTTGTTCAATGCTATCGAACTCTATTCTCAATTTGTTGTTTGATACGGCTTGAACTCTGCTAGGGGCAAAGCCGGAATTTTTAAAACTACCAGTCCTACGTGGGCCTTTATCCAGAACAAGGAGACACTCTTGTTCTGGAGCATGCAGTATCTGATGGTTTCTCTTGTTTCCACTGCTAAGGGATGGGGGGAAATGACGTTGGTGATTGTCTGAAGATCCGACATCGAGTCATTGAAGATGCCGAAAGCAGTCCTAGAGTGCTTCAGCGCCTCCCTCACTGCTCGTTGTAGAGCAAGGAGTTCTGCCTGATAGACGGTGCAGAAGGGCGTCAGCGTGAGTTTAAGGGCTTCGGTTTCGGAGGCCCTATTCCATAATTATAGCGCTGCTCCAACCTTACCCTCGATCTTGCTTCCATCCGTGAAGATTCGTACATCAAAAATGTTGTGGTGTTGATATTGTTCCTCGTCTATCAGGCTTTTGAATTCTAGGCTAGTTTGCACCGCGGGGTGTGGCGCTTCTAGTGTCGGGGCCATTCGTTCCACTTCCCTTTCTCCTAATACTGGCTGTGGCACACCTCGCTTGGCTCCATAGAGTGAGGCCACTTCCTGGATGCGGAGTTCGAGTATCCCAGCCAGCACCAGTGCAGAGTTTAACGACACTGTGCGGTAGGCCCTATATAATTTCTGGGCAAAGCCCCTCTGGACCACGTTCAGCTGCTTCTTGATTCCAAGTTTTGTCGTGACTGATGCCCATGCGCTTGCCGCGTACATTGTTATGGGCTCGACGGCCTCAACTCACACGCGCTGCCCTGGCTAGATGTTTGTATATTGTAATTGCCTTTTGCATACATCAGTAACGGGTGTGTTGAAGGTGAGTTTAGCATCTACCGTGAGCTCGAGTATCTTAATTTCTTGGGACATTCAAATCTCGACCCCTCCCCCCCTCCATGCTTAGGCGCGGATTGTCATATTTTAATTTCCGCGTCAGCACCATTTTTTTTTTTTTTTTTTTTTTCGGGGGGAAATCCTCATGGACTACCTCCGCCTGGGGAAAGGTGGAGGGGCGTGCCGGACTCCTACCGGCTAAAACCACCCCGGTGTCCACCCACACGTGCGCGCAGGGCCGCGGGAATCCGAATTCTTCCGCAGCCCCACACCAGTGCTGGCCCGGTCTGTCCAGGCCTCGTCTCCTGCACGGAGTAGTGAGGCGTTCAGCTACTCCGTGCATCGCCTCAGAGGCACGCGCCGACACCCGCATGCGCCTCCGTCTCAGGTCCATCGAATAGGGGGCGAGGGCTTTCCCAAGTCCCTCGCCCCTGGACCCATTCATGGGGGGCGGAAAAGGGCATTGTCCGCCCTTGTCCTGCGCCCGGTGCGCCTTCTGCGGCCGGGAAAGGGAGTCGAGATCTCCCTCTCCCGTTCCGCAGTTTCCTTCTGCGACATCACGTCCTCGCAGAAGGACACCACCGCGTCCCACGACTCTGCGCTGCCGACCATCCTCCGCACTACGGCCGGCAGCGACAGATCGCTTCCTACTTCATTTGTGAGGACACGGCGCTGCTCCTCCCAAGCTACACACTCGGCGAGCGTGTGTTGCGCCGTGTCCTCCCCGCAGTGGACGCAGTGGTGGCACCGAGCGTCCGGCTCCCTGTCTATGCGGCACAGGTACTTGCCGAAGCAACCGTGCCCCGACAGCACCTGTGTCACCCTAAACGACAGGGATCCGTGCCTTCTCCCGAGCCAGTCGTCGAGTACTGGCCGGATCGCCTCGACGGTTGCGAGGCCGGCGGTAGGGCGCAGAAGCCTTTGCCGCCATTCCGCCACCAAGGCCAGACGGAGCTCCTCTCGGCGCAGCGCGATCTGCCGCTGCACCAGCCTCGAGCCCCGTGCCCGCTCTTCCTCGCGCCATCGATATAATGACGCGAGTACTTTCGCCTCTAGGTCCCAGGGCGGGGATCCGGCCAGGACGCAAGCCGCCTCGTAGGAAATCGTGCGGTACCCGCGGATGACTCTGACGGCCATCACCCTCTGCGGCTTACGCAGAATGGCGAGTGTGCTGGCCGTCATGTCCATCGCCCACACAGGGGCCCCATACAGGGCCATGGACCGCACGATTCCCACGTACAACCGCCTACAGGCGGCGCTCGGGCCCCCCAAATTGGGAAGCAACGTTGAAAGCGCGCCCGCTGCACCCATCAGCTTGGGCACCAGCCGCCGGAAGTGGGGCCCGAATTCCCATCGGCTGTCGAGCACCAATCCCAGATACTTCATGGTGGACTCGACAGCTATCCGGGTCCCACTTACCACGATGTGTGATCCCGGCGCCGGCGCACGTCGGGGGCGCGTCAGCACCATCGCACAAGTTTTGTGCGGCGCGAATTTTAAACGATTTTTGACTCCCCACGCCCGAACATGTCCGATTGCGGCATTGGCCTGTCCCTCGATTTCTAAGGCTGTTTCGCCGTCGAAGACCATCACAAAATCGTCGGCGAACGCCTGGATTTTTTTTGCGATGACAATTTGCGGTGAGGGTACGAGGGTCACAGGGTACTCGAGGGCAAGTTGGTATTTTGGGATCCCTGTACAGGGGATCAAGTCCAGTCAAAACTATCTAAATCGAGCCTTGTCAAAAATATTTAAAATTTAGAAAGTCAAGTTAATGGT